GATGACTTCAAGCTCGCGAGAACATTTAAGGACAAGTACATTACATATAATTCGATGATGAGCTCAAAATCGGTAATTAACCAACGTACAGATTTTAAGAAACTTTTAAACGCCGACTATCATCAGCTGGGCATTTTTTTGGATACCCGGTGCGATAGCAAACGATACACCAAAATCTTCATCGACGTGAGTGCCTGTATTTGCTCAATTCGACTTCCTAATAGAAACAAATCGAATTTTTACTCAATCGTTATTAGCACGTTTCGGATAATAAATAAAACAGGAAAAAATGAATGTTTATCGAGAAAACAGCAGAAATTCGATTTATGTGCAGGCAACAAAGTACTCTATGTACGACGAGATGCATAAATGGTTGATCCTCGGCTCGAACTTGAGCCACAGCCTGCAAATATTACAAGACAATGCCTTTAGCATCTCCACAGATATTGTAATCGCTGTACAGTCGGGAAAAGATTATATTTTGTACGATGTGTATAACCCGTGCAAAGATCGCGGGGGCTCTATGAACGTGACGTTTTTTGGTACTTGGAATAGCGAGAAAGGCTTACGCATCAACCTAACCCAATCGAAATTAGAAAGAAGATCGAATTTACACGGAATGAGACTGAAAGTCGGCATTGTAGTAAGTTTCTATTAATTAATATTAATCGCTACTTAACCATTTGAGTGCCAAGCGGCGCGATCGCGATCCGTTACACTATCTAAAAGTGCCAGCCTTTCGATTCTTCAGATTAAATTGAGTTCATCTATTTGTCTTCCTTACAATTATCTATTTCTATCTTTTTTATTACCTGTTTAGAAATATAAAAATCGACCGATCGCGCTATTTAGAATTTTTTTACGTGAAAATAGAAGAAGGTAATTCAGCTTCTGAACTGAAACGAAAGAACAAGTAGATTTTTACGAAGACCCGTGATACAACGGTTAAAAGATGAATAAGAATTAAATATCATCGGTGTAAACTGTTACCGGTAGTTTACTGACATTAAAATATCAAATCTACAAAAAAATCTACGAATAAATGTTATAGATCAATTACACACCGGAGAATCAATCTTTGCACGAGATGATGATGGAGTACAGCATGCAGACCAAATATGGTCGATCGAAATTTTTATACGTGCTTCTGTGGCATCTGTCGAATCTTTTCAATTTTACGTAAATATGCAACAATTTAAAAGGAAAACACTATTTTCATGCGGCTTTATAAAAAACGATTTTCTAGTATCGACATCGTGCAAATAAACGCGCAAAGAAGGTTTGATCATTCTGGTCCGGTTTTCTCAGCTTTCAATAAAAAAATCATCGATCTCTCGGCGAGTCCTGTCGCGATGAAGATCGACAGATTGAATAACGGAGACATTATCGCACCCGTGTGGCCGATACGGTATGGAATCACAAATTAAACTTCTTATTTCTCGCTTCCGTTATAAATTAATAAAAGATTTGCCTGTGAAATGAAACATTGAAAATGTTACTGACGATACAATGATGTAATATTATATTATCATTATATCATTGTACATTATATCACTATGATTATATCATTATATCTTTGTATAACTATATCATTATCATTATATCATTATATCACCGTCATTACCATTATTATTATATCACTATCACTATCATTATCATTATCACTATGAGTATCATATATTCATTAGTAATTTCTTACAGTCAGCCCTTTGCACTCGAGAGATGACTGACACTCGCCGTTCGCCTTAATATATCAAAATAATAAAGTGCGATATTCGATATCATAGTTCACATAATATAATTGTACAAGAAACGTAGAGATAGAGTAATTCTATCCCTTGACTCCTGTATTACATATATTCCTCTCGGTTGTTAAAAAGATTATCAATACTTCATTAGAAAATGACGAGAAAACTTTCGAGTACAAAGGGTTAATGTATTCGCTCTTTCAATACAAAAAAAAATAATTCTTATCACGATCTTATCATAGATCGTGTTTCATGTTTCGCACGATTTCCTCGACGAAGATAAGGCCAGGTCAGTTCCTGAAACCCTTGTCCGCGAAAGTGTGGTACGGAGTGTTGATCATGATCGGGATCGTAATGTCGATCTTAATCATTCTCATAAGAATGGAGGGCATTCACGAGCCTGCGGAGACCTATGGGCTCTCTGTTCTAATGACAATAGGTGCTCTAGCACAGCAAGGTATAAATTCTTTCACAAAAGTATGCTATCTTTGATTCGCTGTCGATCTTCTCCAAGTCAAAATTCGTTTCCTGTAGGCTCTGCGTTCATACCGACGCGTTACGCGGCTCGTATCGCGTTCCTACAGATTCTCATATTCAGTCTGATCATTCTTAATTATTATTCGGCGAGTGTCGTGTCGAACCGTTTGAAGAACAAGGGGGAAAAAATGAACGACTCGCTGATCAGCTTAGCGAAGAGCGGTATGAAACTGGCGGTGGAACCGACTCCTTATATTCGTTCCTTCCTTCAGGTAATTTCTGTTATTGCCCAACGATGATCCCTTATTTTTTTCTCTATCAAATTCATTTGTAAATCTCTGTCTGCGATTCCAATCTAGAATTACTAACTAGATATTAATCCCTTGTCCTACGATATCGTGTGAGACTCGCGGTGAAGGTTCCGACTAGATGTATGTTACTTATTTCTTTCAAGTCCAAATTCAATATTACTTTTCTATTATTAATCGTAATTCTCCAGAGTAAACGTATACGCGGAATAAACGTAGAATTTGTTGCCTTTCCTGATGAATTATGAATTGTAACATAGTCCCGTTGGGCGCTGTTGCGAAAGAAATCATAGCGCGAGGGGTTAATGTGAACTGGAATGTGGATCTAATCTAAACTAGTTTCTAAAGTAGTTAAAAATACATAAACCAGTCTACGCTGGTATCCAAATACGCTGCCACTTTCCTTCACTCGAACAAATTACAGAATTACTCCTTCAAAAACATTTACCTTTCAAAGCACTTTTGGACTCTGTTTATCCAGGATTTTATTTGGTTTCATTTTGATTTTTCTTTGTTTTATTTCTATTGTAACTGATTCAGTAATATTGACTTTTACGTTAGATACCGGATAAGGAAGTCAGGTACTTCTATCAAAATTGTTGGACGAAGATACCCGAGTACAACAGATACCTGCCATTGGAGCAAGGCCTCGATCAAGTGGCAAAAGGAACTTTGGCTTATCATACGATGGTCGACTCTGCTTATCCGTATATTGAACGCTCGTTCAACGACCGTAGCATCTGCGAGCTCACGGAGGTCCATCTGCTGAAGTCGATGCTGGCGTTTTACGCGAGGCACAGGAGTCCTTTCACAAAATTACTGAAAGCAGGGTACAGTTATTGCTTCGATTTCCTTTTACGGGAAAACGATGCTTCGCGTTTGTTTAAAAGGAAATTGTCTTTCGACCGATAGCTCGTTACACAAAGACATTACAAATAAAATGGATTAAAAGTCTTGTTTTTGAGAAAAAGAAAGTAATTTCAGTGTCAAATTTAGTGTCCGTTTAGAAAAACAATTGAAGCTATCAATTCCGAAACAGTACAAGTCAACCAGTCAACATTTCGAGAAAATCAATCTTCCTTTTCATCCTCGTTTGTTCATTCATTATTCATTTTATTAATTATAGCTGCAAGTGTCGGTTACACGTACATTTTCATTACGTGTACATTCAGATAAACCATGTAGATAACGTTAAAAAGTGAATTGCTGTTTTGGAATTCGCTACGTTTGTTCAGATTGACGAAGATCAGAAACGTTGGGATCCAAAATCGCGAATTAAAGCGTTGGTCAGCGAGAAAACCGTTTTGTCCGAGTAACCTGCTTATCGCCGAACCGCTATCGATTCACGAAGCCGTACCGGTCTTCGTGTTTTTGTGCCTCTGCGTTGGATTTTCCATTTTCATCTGTATCCTGGAGAATATAATTCATTGGTGTTCGCAAACACGGTAATTAGAAACCAGAAGGAACGTGACGTCAAACGTTAGCTTGACAAACGATCAAAGTATTAAATTTCGTCTTACAATTAGTTTGTTATTATTAACATAACAGCTTATTATTAACACGTTGACTGCTACGAGAATTTAGAGCGTTTCGTACAATACTGCTTGTCGTATCATAACGAGGGTAAATGGTGTTATAATTAGATATTATTAACTAATAATAAGCAAACCCAACCAAACTATTATTTGGTATCATAATTCTTAAGTTATACTATTATTTAGTTACTCATGATACTAAACATTTTAATTCGACACCAGTTTTCTTCTTGTAATTGTTTCCAATAATTTGGACTCTCCAGTTATTGGTGGCCGCCATGACAGTCAACGAGTTCAATTAATTTTTTTATTTACATCAGACGAAATTCTAGATTTGTAGTAATAAATCCATGATTCTTTCAGATTACTAAGCGCCATGACAGAAGGTAGACGCATGATTAATAAAAATTTGAATCTACCCTCCTTGAAAGATATTAATTTGCAACGACCGAGGAACTTCAACATATTCAGCGGATCGTTTAGCGCACGGACATCTTAAGCTACATTTCAACATTACAATCTAGAATCTATAACGTAGAATCAATAATTTTGCTGTAATACATAGTAAAAATCAATTTTCCTTGTTACAAATACGTTTCCATTAGATTACAAACGAAAGAAATTCCATTAAAATGTATATTATTGTACTCGTAACAATTCTGGAAGCTATACATGTATATAGTTCCACTATCTGTTAATAAATAACAGCGACATTGATATCTGACTGTCCTGTCAATAAAAACTTATCTCGTTTCTATCGGAAGTCGTGTGTCGCGTCCAGCAAAGACAGCCAATAAAAAATTCACCCAGCTCAACGTCCGTTCCGTGACTCACGCGAGTCGTCGAATTATCCAGAATTGACAGCTTGTCCTTTCTATTGGAATATGAAATTACGTCCCGGTGCATCGGATGCATGAACCGTGTGGACTTCATTAAAATAATGCAACTAATTCGCGGAACTCGTGGCAGCTACGGAGAACTCGGTAAAGTGTAACAGAAGTGTTAAAATCGCGTGGAAGATTGTAAAACAGATTTCTGTGATATGAAATCGTTATTGCGAGCGATGTACGCTGTTTTTCTCTTTCTTTCGCAACTCACTCTGTTCTCCACGGCACAAGATCATGTTTTCATCCGCGATTATTTCGTTCACAAGAGGGTGCGGAACGTGGTGGGATTTTCTTGCGGCGACATAGAGAGTGCGTAAAGCGTCAGAAGCATTCACGGTTTTAGTGGAAACTGTGTGATAAATAGACAGCGGGTTTTATGCGTTTACGACGACTACGAGTGCTTAGAATATAAAACAGGAAGATGAGGACTTAATACTAGAACTACCGAGCGTTTAATATGATTAACCTTCTATAAGCCCGTGTAACTTTGAAGTCACACATCAATAGACTGGGTTAAATTGATTTATTTAATTTTTTATTACAAAATGACGAATGACATTAAATGATTAATCAGCTTAAACTTTTATACAGGCAGGCGTTTACGATCAACGTTATGTTTATCTTTATATCTATAATTCTCTAAACCAAAATAAACGAATATCAACTTTCCTAGGAGCAATAGAATAAACTGTACAGCAAGTGCCCGTAAACTTAATGTTAAGGTATCAATCATTGCGAAATAAGAAAACTGGCAGCCGCCATTTTGACGCGCACGGTAATTCCAGTGTTAAGAATCTTATTATTTTATCGTCAACTTATTAAGATTCTTAAGAGAAGAAATTCGTTTCTATTTAAACCTTGTTTCGTTGCATCATGTTAATAAATTTTTATTTTGCATGGAGATCCGCTGTCTAGTAATAAATTAACAGTGAACAGAGTTTAAAAGACATTAAATGGTCGACGTACGATAGACTCTAATTCTGTATTACCCGTATCAGGTGACTTTGATCTTCTGAAAACGCTGAGCACCACAGGCATATTCACAATAATGAGAGAGCCCACTATAAAGATCGACATCCGTAGGTTTTTAAGAACCGAAACGTGGACGTTGGGCGTCATTGTTGATCTCCGTTGCCTCAACGAAACTGCCGTTCGAATTTTTGCCGAAGTACGCTGAGAAGAACAAGCAAATATATGACATATGATTACAAATATACAATAAATAGATTATCAGATAATTCGTAGTTTCTAATGACTGCAGATGTTTGTTCATATAAATCCGTAAGGCTCTATGACTGTTCATATATTAACCCTCTATATCTTGTTGATTTCTTCCATTTTGCATAGCAAAGTGACGAATCAAATGAAGTAATTAATTAACTTAAACTTTTGTACACTCAGGCGTGAAAGTCGAACGTCATTGTATTTTCAAAATTACAATGTATATCCGTTTTAATACGATTATTATTCAATACATTGCTTATTTGTATTTGTTGATATTTATTAATTTTATACTACACATATTTATTTATACTCACAAAAATAAATTCAGGTTATAGAGGATTAATATCCCAATGTATTATAATGTTTTCTTATGAAATGCAACGACGTTTTTATATAATATAGTATCTAGTAAAACATCTAACGAAAAAATAGGTTCCTGTTTGATTAACATCGCAGCAAATTAATTTTCGAAAATTGTGTATTGTACAAACATTTGCAAGCTAGTAAGTAACAGTGCATAACAAAGTCGAGTTACATTAATTTCCTCGAATGCAGAGCTCGAAATATAGAATGTACGATTATTCCTACAACTGGTTGGTTCTGGGATCGAATTATAACCAGAGCGTGCCACTTTTGAACGATACCACGTACAGCATGGTGACCGATTTCGTCCTCGCCATATCGAACAAAAATGGCTACGATCTGTACGACGTGTTCAATCACTGCAAATACCGCGCCGGTTTGCTGAATGTCACGAAACTTGGCACATGGCGGCGCCATAGCGGCCTGAACATCACTTTAACGCAACCGTTAATTAATAGGAGGACTAATATGCACGGAATGAGATTGAAAATATCCGGCGTGGTGAGTAATGTTAGATTTTACCTTTGAAGTTCGGTTTGAATCGAATATACAGGGGTGATCACGAATAATAAGGATAATTTTTGTTCTTATTCGTGCAACACGCTTATTACCTTTGTTATTTCTGAACAACGTGAGTGGGTTGAATGTAATCAAGCGAATAGAATAGTTTCGTGACAGTAGTGACGCCTACTATATACAATTTAATGAGCGTTATTACAAACTTAATGTTTAATTAATGCACTAGCGTAAACTTGACTAATTTCTGTTTCTTTGAAAGTTTAAAAGGTTTTATAATATCTGAAAAATTGCACAACATAATTACATAATTTACTATTGAAAAAGTTATGTAACATAATATTTTACGATATTTAAAAGAATCAAGGAATGTATAAGAAAAATTGTTATGTTATAATTTTTATACAGAACTGATGTACTTTATACGTTTTAGATACAATATCGACCAAAAGGTATGCGTCTCGAAGATTACATGCAGGACATTAATACAAGGTCCTTAGACAGTATGCATAAATTTGTGCACGCCATGATTTTACACATAGGCGATCTCTTTAATTTCAGGTAAAGGCGACGACATCTGTGGTCCGTTATTACATCGAAAATAAATTATTATTGCAACATTTTTCTATCGTTTTTCAGCGTACATGCTTCCGAAATCATTTACTGGGACAGGCATAGCGTCCACGGTCTGATTTTCGAATTTTTACAAGCGAATTATATCGATTTCGCTAGTAATCCCAGGATCATGGTGTCCGAGCGATTGGATTATGCTTCCCTGATTGGTGCAGCATGGCCTATTCGGTGGGGGAAATGAATTGTCAACTATCAGGCATATCTGTGAACGAGTAATCTACTTGTTAAAATCAATTAGGATAAATATTTATTTTGATCGATGAAACTGATCCTCGATTTCTGTAAAAACGTAATGAATTACTAATTCACGCATCTAACGCAGATTTTTACGTGTGCCAATACAATTTCTCTTAATTGATGTCTACACGAGAAGAATATTATTTTCTTAATGAATATTATTTTCATTAAGGCCTTGTTTCATGCTGCTGTCCACGGCAACCAACAAAATAAAGTTGGAAATTTTCTTGAAGCCTTTCACGAGGCAAACGTGGTATACGTTCGCAGGGTTCGGTTTGTTCTCCATCTTCGTGATGAAAATGATAATGAACTGCGAGGGAATCGGGAAGAAGGAAAAGTACTCCGGAGCAGTTGTGCTGTCAGTGGGAATAATATCGCAGCAGGGTAACGTAAAGAAATAATGAAACCTCGTTTGGATATTTTACATAGCTTTTCGAATTTCGAGCATTATGTGCAATTTTGCACATTTCAAATATCAAATCTCAGATCTCTAATTATCTACAGATACATAAAAATCCGCAGTCTAATTATAATCAGTTTTCTATTCGCAACAGGTGCGAATTTGACTACGAGACGTATTGCGAGTCGCATCGCCTTATTTCAAATCACGGTACAAAGCTGGATAATGTATAATTATTATTCCGGTAGTATTGTCTCGGCTCGGTTGAGTGAACCCCTTGACATGATGGAGGATTCCGTAACTGTCCTGGCCGACAGCAATCTGAAAATTGCTGCAGAGGCTGTGCCCTACTTAAATTACTTTCTGTATGTGAGTACAGATGTTAAAATCCTATAATACACAGTAATAATTCATTATTAGAAAATACCTATTGAATTGAACAGAAAGAGTTCTCAATAAACTTAAGGGAGAAATATCTAAACATTTATTTAAACAAACGATTCCTTTGTGAATCTAAAATACATGTTCCATGGTTTAATGCAACTGGTTTTCACTTGTATCTGGAAAGAATAAAGTTTTTGTTCATCCCAGTATTGTAAAAATAATTATCTTAAACGCGATAAAATTATTAGTATCTCTGTTACAAGTAAAGAATGTGTATCATTAGAAATTGAATTGGGAGTCCGATTACTTTCGCAAGAAACGTTGGGATCCCCTACCGGAATCGAAAAGGTATTTGCCAATAGAGGAAGGCATCAGGCAAGTCAGCCAAGGTATCTTAGCGTATCATACGGATCCAAACACTGCATACCCATACGTTGAAAAAATGTTCGACTCGAATAAAATCTGCGTGCTCACGGAGATACATTTGTTTAAACAATCCGTGATGGGCATGTACGCGAGCCACAATGGACAGTTCATCGAGATGGCAAAAATAGGGTAATTGAGTCTCCTATTCCTTTTTTTCCTTTCTTATAGTTCACGGTATAAGAATATTGAACACTTTGAGATTGAAACGTGGAATTTTGGTAATGAAAAAGTATGTTCACTTTTATCGCAAAATTACAAAGTTACACGAGTTCAAAGATCGCCAATTTTTCGATTAAAATGTAGTGATTCCTTAATTTTCATAGTGTACACTTATTATGTTTAAAATATTGAGGTTCCATTATTGCGATCAACGTATACATAAGAGAAATATAAAAATGGTCCACATTTGAGTAAACGAGCCTAATACTATTTGATTTTGTTATTTGTAAAATTCACACGATGTGAAGAAATTAGCATATCGGTCAGTGAACAGAATTCGAAGGAAGCACTCTTCAAAAACACAGCTTTCACAATTCGTTCTTATCAAAGGCTGACCAAGATGTTTAACACCGGTCTTCGGGATCGTCAAATCAAACACTGGTCGTCGAGGAAACCCCAGTGTCAGCCGGATACTTTATCGACGAGAAGCATTACGATTTACGAAACTGCACCGGCACTGATTCTATTGGCGTTGGGCGTTCTCCTTGCTGGAATAATTTGCATCGCGGAGAATATTATTTACAGACGCTCGATGAAGTGAGTACAGTTCGCTCTTAATTGATCTAAACGAAAACTGACAAAAAAATGCAAACCGTGCTGTCAGAAATGGAATAAAAAATTTCGAGCTATTAAGATTTACATCAAATTCTTAACACTGGAACCACGGCATCCGACAAAATGGCGTGTTCCAATTTTCTTATTTCGCAATTATTGATATCGTGAAAGCGTGAAATATCCGAAACGATTCGATAATTAAATACTTCCACTTTAATTCTGTAATTAACGTATGAAAAAACTAAACAAAAATCTATTGTTACAATTTTTATAAACATTACATATTAAACGTGTCAAACTCTCGGTTGTTCTAGTGTTAACAATGATTCTGAAATTATATATATGTTACAGTAAGAAGATAGTGAGTGGGAAGAAAATAGTTGGTGCCAGAGGAAGTATTACCAGTGGAAACAGTAGAGACAACTTGCTGGATTTGCAGCTTTAAACTCCTTGCTGCGGAACGCAACACTGTGACAGTGTAATTAGTGGAGAACTTTAGCTGCCCATAGCTTAGTATTAACGTGTGTCGCTTTCAAAAATAAAGCAACTTATTTATATTGTATAATCAGGAGTGCAAATGATTTTACGAATCCTCGAGTGCTTCGATACTGAGGTATCGGATACTGTTGTTTCGCTTGGAACTGGTACACGTTATCGGATTTTCATATTGTAAAAGAGTTGCGCCGTAAAGAGCCATCACGTCAAAATTGACATACTTCCTCATGCAAGATGAAGAAGCGAACTACTTTACGTGCAATAGGCTGCATCACGAATGTTCCGCGTACAGTTGTTCAATTCACAGGCCGCAACGACGAACGAGGGTAACAAGTGGGATGCACTTGCGAATTTTCTTTTGCCTGCAATTGATCATCTTCTCTTGCGCACATAATGTCCACTTAATTCGCGATTATTTTCTTTTTAAGAATGTGAAGGGGATGGCTGGATTTTCTTGCGGAGAACTCGAAAGTGAGCTTCGTTACTTATAATTTGTTTATTGAACGATAGTGTTAAATAATAATCATAATAATAATAACTGTTAATGGAAATATTTACCGAACTTCTTTAGATAATGTTGCATTCCTATTCTTAATTGAGTCGCTTAGAAGCCAATACGGTTAAGTGCAGGAAACAAAAATTGAGACAATTAATGTTGCGGCTTCTGAAATTATTATACAACATATTCAGAAGCTATAAAAGGAAGAGCTTTCGAAGAAGAACGAGTGATATCCTTTAATAACTAAAAGGAATATTATGTGTTCCATTAAAATTTACAAAAATCAAAAAATATAAAAAATAAACGAACTTAACCGCATTGGCTGCAGAGTGACTCCATTATTGCGATCTGTAGGTTTAATCGTTGCGAGAGACATATAGTGTATTACATGATTGCACAAATGTGGATACAGACGATGTCGAAACTGCCAAGATGTTTAACGACGTTGGAATCCCAGCTTCGATGAAGCAGCTTGGTCCTAACATCGATGTAACGCGCTTCCTTCGCACCAAATACCGGAACATAGGTGTTTTCCTAGATTTAGGTTGCTCGTATGAAGTCGAGGATGTCTTGAATATATTCCGTGAGGTAAATAAATTGAACCTGTATACTTTATCAAGTACACCAGTAAATAATCTTTATTTAACCCTTTGCACTCAAGTATATTTTTCTCAACAAATATTCAATATTTTCTGATGAAATGTCAATGATATTTTTTACAATTAACATAAGGAAATACCTTGTATAAATTAAGTGACAGAACTATTTTACTTCGATGTTCCATGTGCTGATGCGTTATATAAAAATTTAATATTGAATTTTAAGTTTTATCATTTTCTTGGGTCGAATCAAATGACGACTGAAAGGCGCCTCTCGAGTGCAAAGGGTTAATAAGTTAATTAATTTACAATACGATAGCATTATAATATCGAAGTGACTGATACTTAAAACGAAACAAAAACACATCATTTAGACTTCGTCTCAGCTTATGTTCGACCACTTGCACCACTGGTTCATTCTGGAGGGAAAGGGGAAAGATGTGACTGATACTGTGCACCTGTTAAACGACAGTGCGTTCAGCATTATTACTGATTTTGCGATTTCCGTGCCTGAGGATGCTGGTTACGTGCTCTACGATGTTTACAATCCTTGCAAACGTTGCGGCGGCACGCTCAACATTACTGAATTAGGCACATGGATGAACGACACTGGTTTGAATATCAGTTTGTTAGAAAACAAGTTTATTAGAAGACGAAACTATCACCAGCTGAATGCTACAATCGCTGGTCTTGTAAGTATTGTACAATTGTTATGAAACAGTTCGATTCTGACACGTTCTGCTCTGTTCTCCTTATTGAACAATTCGATTGGATTGTTCCAATATGAAATAATGAAGACCCTGATTTTTATTAACTACTACCATTGCTGATATTATATGTAGCTGATAGATATTGTTGAATTGTTAGTAAATAAAAACGTATAAAAACGCTACTCTCATGTAGGTAAGCGATAGACCGAGAGATAAAGATCTGATAAAATACCTTGAAGAGCTAAACATTGAAACGATAGACAATTGGCCAAAATTCGGGTACGCTCTCCTGGTACACATTGCTGAAATGTTCAATTTCAGGTAATACGTTTGTTTATTGTTTATTTCGAAGGGTTTTCGTAGGTACTCTCATACTAACTAATGGACAACAGGATAATCAGACATTTAACTTTTTAGCTTTAAAATAGTAGAATCAAGTTACTGGGCAAAGGATGATAGCAATGGGCCAGTGGTAACAGGTCTAAATAAAAAGTTCTACGATTTGTCTTATCAACCGTTGCTTATAACGATCGAAAGAACTAAGTTGTGTGACGTACTGCTGCCAGTTTATCCTGCGAGGTGATTTTCAATTGAAAATGTAGAGTCAAACGGTCATTTAATTGTTTATTTTCCTATAGGACATGCTTCATGTTTCGTACCGTTCCGTCAACAACAAGCGACATGACTGTAATCTTTCGGCCGTTCGAAGCAACCGTTTGGTGTACGGTTTTTATGTTATCACTTCTTATAATATTTACATTATGGTTGATCTGGAAATTAGACAGGGATTCCAGTTACGGGGAAAGTGTTCTTATTCTCTTTGCAGCGATATGCCAACAAGGTGAACCAAACAGTGACATGAATACTCAACTGAATCTGTTAACTGCAAAATTTGCTAGCTACGAAGCTTAATTTAAAAAATTCTATTTTAATTAAAATATTTCATTCTAAATAAAATTCCTCGATTCCCCGCGGATGTTTCACCGCGTCAAACTCAATCCTCTCAATTTACAGGACTACCATTTGAAAGCAATCAGTTCGCAGGTCGAATTGCTTTTCTCCAGACCATGATATTTGGTCTACTTGTGTATAATTGTTACTCAGCGGCTATGGTGTCAAGCCGGATAAACGTTCCTCTGAACAAAATGAACGACTCCCTGCATTCATTAGTGAAAAGCAAAAAGAAACTCTCAGCTCACAAAGATATCTTCTTCAACGTTCTGATAACTGTAAACCTCTTTATTTATTATTTACTGTTACTAAATATAGATGAATCTGCTGAATAATCAATGTTGAAGCTAATGGTTTAAATGTTATCAAATGAAAACGTATTGACAGTCGAGCCACCCGGATGTTGTGAACTTTAGAAGACACTGGGAATCTATACCGGAAAACGAGAGATTTAAAGAATTACACGACGGTATAAGAAGCATTACCAATCCTGAATTCGCTTATCACGCGAGTCCCATTGATGCATATCCAATAATAGACCGTGAGTTCAGCAAACAAATGATTTGCCAGCTCACCGAAGTACATTTGCTTCGACCTACCATATTGGGTATATGGGCAGCAAAGAACGGTGAACTTGGAGAAATAACGAAGATAGGGTGAGGAAGTTTACCGAACAAAGATATCGAAAAATTCGTTTAAAATTGACAGATCGTTAAACCTCGCTAATTTGCTGCAGTTTAATTAGAATGACTAGTGCGGGAATCGTAAAAAGGCAGGTAATTCGTTGGAATGAAAGGAAGCCGTACTGCGACAAAGAGAAGCGTTACGCGTCGAGCGTAAATATTCTTGAAACATCACCGATTCTGATATTGTTACTCGGTGGCATAATGTTGTCTATTATAATTTGCGTAATAGAAAATGCGGTGTTTCGAATGTCCGAAACAAAATCAAACGCAACAGCGGAACACTTGAAGAAAAGTAACGATAGAGGCATCGTAGGGCGCAAAAAGAAACTTGTACCGAAAATAAAAATAGTTACACCTTCAGTAAAAAAATAATAATAACGTCGTTCTACGGTAAGACAGACGCGATTTGATTATTCTTTTCCTTCCTTCATAATGTTTTGCAACAATCATTGCAGTGAGATGTAAATAGGAAATTTTAATGCGATGTATAAATTAATTTTATTAAATATAACGTATCAATTACACCATTTAAAAATGAATATCATATGATTTTCAATGTATTTTGACAAAAGTTGCATGATAATAAAAAATGAAGCATGGGATTTTATTATAAAATAGTATGATCGCTTTCCGTCGATGGTAAATGCATGTTCATTGCCTAGCAATTAAATTAATTCTTTTCAACTTTTTTATCAGTCAGTGCTCGAAGTGTTTCAGTGAGATTGAATAACTGTCTTTTAAGTTGCAATAGTTTCACCACTTTGGGCTGCCATGCAGATTTCTCTGTTGTACTATGCAATTCATGTATCAGAAAGCCCTGAAACAGAATAAGCTTTAAAATTGGAAAAATTAAATATATAACTTAACTAGCAACAACTTAATTCATCCTACTTGCTTAATTATAGCCGCATCTATAGCTACTAGACTGAGACATCTGGAGTTTGTTCAGGTACAGACGCCTTTTCAGGCTTCCTAGTTTTTGCAGGCTTGGAAGGTTTACTTCCTCCGCCTATGAGATCAGCAAGCCTCTTCTTCATTTCTAAGAGAACCTGAACCTCAGGTTGCCAAACACTCTTGTCATATTTAGATTTCAGTTCTCTAACTTTATGACCCTGAATAATTATGCAATATATTTAATATGTATATAAAGACATAATAGTTAAAAAGGAAACAAGTATTCTATACAATTTTCTAACTATATTAACCTGCACTGCTATTACAGTTTCCAAACATTTTTGTTCGCAACTTTTCCCTCCATTTTTATTTTTAATATCCTGTTTCGAACCGTATTTCTTCCTTAAGGACTCTACATCTTTATCTTCAATTTTTTTAAAGAGGGGAGAAGGTTTGCCAATTTTGTGACCCGTCGGAAGCATATTCGTAATAATGTCAGGAATATATCCATAGTTAGCGCTATCCAATCCTAACTGTGACCTCAGTTCCCGTGATGTATTAGGCATGAATGGAGCCAATAGTGCAGCCAACAGACATGCTAAATTACAACACACACCGATGACTGTTCCAGCTCTCTTTCTGTGAACAGTAAAAACATAGAAAGTTTGAAAAGATTACACCACTAAATAAATATTATTCACAAGCTATAGCACAGACCTGCAACGTAATTTGATGTATCAACTTTTTTAATCTTTTTAGTAAGTAAACATTTTTACACGAACAAAACTGTAAAAAATCTATTATTTATTTTATACTTAAATAATATTATACTAAAAAGAATCAAGACTAATATTGAAAAAAGTGTCAAAGTGCATCTATAAAGAATATCATAGTATATTACTTTCTTGTACAGGGTCTTACTTATCGTCATCAGTTCCTTTAATTTTCACCCAAGGCTGCTGGGATTGCATGAACTGATTTCCATGTTTAGAGATGGCTAATACATGTTTCAAGCCATCTCGCAGTTTAGCTTGCTCCAAAGTGTGAATGTAGGACTTCAATTCGCGTTGGGCTAACGCTAATAACATCAAGTCATCTTCCTGGAGTATCATTGGTGGAATTTTGGAATCGAAATATTTTTCCGCAAACATTAGAGCTCTATTTATTGAAAATAATTTTTAAATACTGCACTTAGTCAAAAAAAGAATATACAATTTGACTGAATTATTACATACCTATTCACAAAGTTTCCAAAATTATTTAATAATTCACTGTTGTTTTTGGTTGCTAAATCCGCCCAATTGAAATTAGAATCTTGGGTTTCTGGTCTAATGTATGCTAGATAAAATCGCCAAACATCAGCTGGTATACCCGTATCTCTGGCATCAGTGCCAAATACTCCAATTCCTCTCGATTTAGAGAATTTTGTATCTTCATAATTTAAATACTCTAAATAAAGAATAGAATATTAACATTTAAACATAAAAATTAAAATATTACGTAATAACATACGCAATAAGGAACACATTTTTTGTAGACTTACCTGTCGCCATTAAATGTTTCACTAACGTATAACCCTGGTTAGCTGCTAGTAAACAAGCGGGGAACATTATTGCATGGAAGGGAACATTATCCTTTGCCATAAATTGATATAAATCAACCCTTGCATCTGTAGGTTTCCACCACTGTTCATAATCTTTAGTATATCTCTTCGTAATACTGATATAACCAAACGGTGCATCGAACCAAACATAGAATACTTTATTTTCAAAACCTTTCTCTGGTACAGGTATTCCCCACTTTAAGTCTCTCGTTATACAACGCGGCTTCAGTCCATCACGTAACCATGGCTTAGCAACTACTTTAGCAACATTCGACCACCCTAATTCCACACCTGAGGACCAATCTTTTAGCTTCTCTTCTAACTGTAAAACGATATGTCGAAAAAATAAGAATAATAAGATATATAAAAAGGTAAGGAATAACGTATTTGTCTATCTAAACTAACATTATTCACATTTTAATACTTGCCTTAGGTAAATCTAAGAAAAACTGATCCGACTTTTTAACAATTGGTGTATTGCTACAGACTTTGCAACGAGGAGCTATTAAATCTGTTGCATTTACTAAGTGACCACATCCATCACATTGATCACCACGTGCTTCTGCATAATGACACCTTGGACATATACCTTCTACAAATCTATCTGCTAAAAATCTATCACAAGATTCACAGAGAAGTTGATCTACGGTATCGCTAAACACGAATCCCTGTGATTTTATACTGGAAAAAAATGATTGCACGATCCTGGAAGTAAAAGTGGATGCTTATTAATACATATTGATAATACTTTTACTTCAATGTAGTAACAATATAAACAAAATGGTGGAAAATTTGTTTGGTTCATAAGCTCAAACCAAAATTACATTTTTTTTAAAAATTAAAAAATTACATTCTATAACGCAGCTAGTAGGAGATCCATCTTACTCTGTTTGCTGAGGTGTAGTAGTACGACCAAAATAGTTAAATCCTATACTAAACCATCTATATACATCATTATGTATATCAAAAAACTTGTCACATATAGCTTGTGGTGTTGTTTTCTCTTCCAAAGCTTTGGCCTCTGTAGCAGTGCCATATTCGTCAGTACCACTGGAACATTAGAACACTAATTGAACATTAATTCACAGTAATTCCACTACAAAGACCCGAAATTGTGAAATTTAAGTGAGCCTCATTGTATAAAAATCTATGTAAGGATACATACCTAATAAAAAGTGTATTATAATTTCTTTGTCTACAGTATCTGTAATTAAAAGAAATAAATTACAACATTTTCATGTAAATATACTTCCTAAACTTTGTGTTCTACAAACCTGGCAAAAATATCAGCAGAAAGTACACAACCAATAATATTTCCCAAATGAGGAACATTGTTTACATAGGGTAATGCAGAGGTTATTAAAACATTTCTTTCATCCTTCTTTGGTAATCTAAGAATAATATACATATATAATAATTGTGCTTCTTATTTATTTTTGTTTTTTTAATATAAACCTATGTATATAACTGTAACCTTACATAGGATAAGGTGAATTCTTTACAGCTGGATATGGCTTAGAAGACCAATTACTAGAAACCTTTTGAATTTCATCTTCACTAACTGCTTCAACAACTTTTTCTTTCTCTTTACCAGGACTCATCTAAGATCAACAAATTGAAATATTATTTGGTTACAAAAAGTAATGTTATACAGTTTCAGTATAGACTCACTTTAGCTAGGGCTGGTTTACAGTTTTGTAAGTAAGTACTGCTATTAACAGGGAACCAGCTTCCAGACTGTATACTAAGAATTGCTTTACTACCTCTTTCAAATTCATATTCCTCAAGGGCGTCCTAAATGAATAAATTATAAGTTTAATTATTATATGTATAATGTACAAAACATTAGAGTAACAATAAATAAAATTTACTTGAATAACTGGCAAAAGTTCAATATTTGATGACCACTTCTTCAAAGATGGATAGTCCTTACACAGTTCTTGTCCAATCTCTGTAACTAATATAGTAGACCATATTGTTACCCAAATGCAAGCATCTGCCAATGATAAACCATGAATCTCATCCTAAAATATCGTTAATTAGATTTTAGTTCTATCATACTATTATAACATATTAACAATACATTTATTTTATTTACATATGTATTACCTTAATTAAGTACTCATTATCTGCTAATTCATCATTTAAATATTTTAATAAACCCCACAAACTAGATTTATCTGCATTAGGTGTATTACCGCAGTATACTATAGCTGGCTATAATATATAATAATCGCAATATGAGATTTATTTATATATTTAATAAAGACTTTAAAGGTGTATCATTTATTTTTTATTATTTACCTGCAACTGAGTAACATCCCACTCTAACCACTTGCTATTTACAATCCTAGATTCTTCAGGCAAACGTACTGCGAGTTGCACTGCTGAACTAGTACTAAATAGGTATGATCCGCATGATAATTGTATAGCAGGTAAACGACTTACAAAGCTTCCTAAATATAGAATGGGTAAACTCACTTTACATTACATTAACTGTAACAATTGTATATTGATATGTTAATTCTAATCAAAGAAACATTAACAGATTATCTACAATATTAAACACCTTTTTAAAAATACAAATGTAATGATTAATTAATTTATTTTTTAAGACAAAGTGGTTCAGAAATCAAAAATGTAAATGACAGACAGGTGACACGTCAGAATAAAAATAAATAGGAATTTAAAGATTATTTTGTTGAAGAAATATTACATCACCCATGAGTTAAAAAGCGCCAGGTGAAACAAACACCTGGTATTTCATCATATATGAGAAAATGAATTCAAACTAAAAAGGTTAGATTACTCACTATTTGGTTCCAATATATTCAGAGTGATAGCTTCTCGAGCCATTTTAGCTGCAATAATTAGCTTCAACGTGTTTGGATTGCCTTGGTTCGTGAAAATAATCATTTTTACTAATAAGTTAATAAATATTCACAATAAATAGATGAAAATATGTTCAGCACACAACCGACACATGTGAGCGACAAGTAAATGCTAGGGTAGACTCAATGTATTATTTTGTGGCAACTTCGGTAACTCCACAGGCATACCAACAATATTCTTAATATTACCAATACTGTAAAGACTAACATCCTAGCATTTTTATATTGCAGTTTGTGTACCAACAGTATAAAATAATAAGTTCATTCTAAAAGCATCAATGAATGACAGGATAGCTAGACATTTTATGGGACTTTGTGTCTGATGATCTGAAAAATTTAATATTGAGGCAAGAAAATAAAAAAGAACACGTTTTAGATTTATTTACTTGTATTTATTTGTACTCCGTTGATGAGACTGTAACGCGGGATTGGTAAAAACGTATCTCAAGTCTGTGCTAACAGTTTGGGCGATTTATTCTAGATGGTGCTGATTTTGCGGGAAATTTGATAAATTTTGAATTATAAAAATGATCTTCCTTCTGATTCTACACAATGAAATGCAATTTTTAATATGTTATCGAAATTTCTATTCATTAATGGTGATCCTGTCTTAAAATAAAAATTTTCAGCTTTAATTTGATTTTTTGAGTTTAAATTTGCCGTAATTTTTTCTTGTAATATCAGCGCTACCTACGTTGAAATGCTCAAGCTATTAGCACCGCAATGATTCTTGTCGGTGCTATTAGTATTATTATTTTCGACAGCGTCGGTATTTCAGCGTAGTAGTTAAAAAGTTACGTGTATGTAATGTGTGCATAGAATTTAATTTATGTTTTCATATCAACTAATTACATATATTCCAATTGGAAAACGTCAAAATTATTGAATCACATTGATTTGGAAGATTCAATTTCTTTACTCGAAAGAAAATACTTAGTGATAATTGCGTTTTGCTTTGTGTTTTGTTTTTTGTCTGCTATATATAAGTAGACAGGCCGGGGAATTCCCGTATGTTTCCAACGTTTGAATTGAACGCTTCGTCTCGTATAATTTGAAAAAATGATTATTCTAAAATTCGGTATTTTTCTAAACTGTTTATCAGTGTTATATAGTGCAAAAAATGTTGTATTAATTGTCGCAGATGATTTAGACATCTTTCTCGATGGAATGGTAAATATGAATCTGAAAAGAAAACGTGCATTCATTACCTGTAATTACATAAAGTACCAACAATAATTATGTTTTTCTTCAGATACCAATGAAAAATACAATGGATTTAATTGGAAACTCAGGTGCATCATTTTCAAATTGTGTAAGTTATCAAAAACTAAAATTCTATTTTGATGTTGTTATAAAATAAATAAAACTGTTATTAAATGTAGATAATAAGAATTCTTTTTGTGAATAGTTTGTTGCTTCTCCTATTTGTTGCCCAAATAGAGCTTCAATTTTAACTGGAAGGTATCAACATAATCATTTAGTAGTAAATAATTCAATTGAAGGAGGTTGCAGTAGTGTTAAATGGCAACAGTTTCAAGAACCAAATACATTTGCTGCATATTTAAAAGAGCAAATGTCTTATACAACTTTTTATGCTGGAAAATATTTAAATCAGGTAGATATGTAGCATCAAGTATATATTTATAATTGTACTTTTAAATGGAATTTGATATTTATATGAAATGTAAAAGTATGGACATAAAAGTGTGGGTGGAATAAATCATGTACCAAAAGGATGGGATTGGTGGGCCGGTCTCATTGGAAATTCAAAGTATTATAATTATTCTTTATCTATAAATGGAACAGAAAAGGAGTTTGGTAACAAAACAACCGAATATCTCACTGATGTAATTGTAAGTTTTAATCTATAATATTTAGTTGTAGGTTTTCTCCATAGTACTCTAAAATTTGGTTTTTTTAGAGTAATCTTGCAATAGATTTTATTAAATCTCGTGGACAAAATAGTGAACCATTTCTTGCAGTTCTAGCACCTCCAGCACCTCATGCACCTTTCACACCAGCGATAAGACATTATGACAAATATAAAGTCATAAAGGCCAAGAGGACACCTAATTTTAATAAACTTACACAAATAGTATATCATGTTTCTTTGTTGAATTTTTTTCTCTTTTAATCTTGTAAGTTGCTATTAATCTTATTGTTAAACAGAACAAGCATTGGTTAGTGAGAATGAGTACATATCCATTACCTAATGATGTATTACCTAAGTTAGATGAAGTGTATAGACACAGATGGGAAACATTATTAGCTGTTGATGAGCTTGTAACAAACGTATATGAAACTTTAAAGTTGCAGGGTCTTTTGAACAATACTTATATCATATTTACATCTGATAATGGTTACCACATTGGTAATAAGTTTGCGTTTAATGTATATGAACATCTAAATTCTGCATGTTAATATATTTCATTTTACATACTATGTTTTGTAGGTCAGTTTAGTATGCCTATAGATAAGCGTCAACCATATGAGACAGATATTAGAGTTCCATTATTAATACGAGGACCTGGAATTACACCATCCAAAATTTCTGCACCTGTCAGTAGCGTTGATTTGTTTGCTACTATTTTAGAAATAGGTGGTATAAAACGTCCATCAGATGGAACTTCTCTTTTAAAAAAAACATTACCAAAGGATAGAACCTTGTTAATAGAATACAGAGGGGAGAAGTCTAAGGGCATTCCATCTTCAGGTTGCCCAACTGACAGTGATCCAAATGTATCAGTAAGTTCTGAGTACACAGTATTTGCATTAGATATGACATGAATATTATTTCATTTAATTTCATAATCTTCACAGTTCTGCATGAAAGACATGGCATGTAAATGTCAAGATGCTGCAAATAACACATTTAGTTGTATACGCCGCGTTTCACCAGAACATAACAATATCTTTTGTGTTTTTGAAGATGACCAGGTACCAACAATAACAAGTAGATATTCTAACTCGATATTACTAAAGTGATGTGTTATTAATATTCACGTTTTTACCAGCATTACGTGGAAGCATACAATATCACCACAGATAATTATCAAATGAATAATATTGGATATACCATGAAACGTAAACATAGGTACAGATTCAGGAAGCTCCTGAAAAGAATGTCTGTCTGTAAAGATGAGGACTGTGTTTTTACAATTACAGAGAACGTTTATATTTAGCGGTTCATGTATTACAAAATACGATTAATTTGAATATAACGTGTGTACAATGAGTAAAGGAAAATTGGTAATTAATCAACAGCGGAATATTTAATTATTGACAAATTCATGTTACACTTACTGCGTTTACTAGGGCATAATGATACATACCATTAAAAGTTCGGAACGCCGGCGGCCGTCTTACTTCGAATTACTGCATTTATGGAAATCATGGGCGAAGAATACGCCGCGAATCTGGATATAAGAATAACTCGTCTTGCTTCCCGAGTACCTCAGGCAAACTGTTTTCTTAGCAAATATTTTTATTAAAGCCCCGCGGTTCGAATATCTGAATAGCAATCGCGCCATTCATGGAGGGAAGGGGCAGAGAAAAAGAAAACTGAACGAAGGATAGAACGTAGAAACGCGCTTCTAGAATGTCCATAAATTTAATCTATTAAAACGTTTTGAATGATTTAAAGATTTAAAATAACATGATATTACAGCACGACATAACAAAGAAGACTAATAACTATTAAATAATCAAAACTCTACGCGACAAATTTCCTTTAATCCTTTACACCCGACGATATTTTTCATTACAAACATTCATTATTTTCTGACGAAATATTAACAATATCATTTGCAACTTACACAAAGAAACATCTTGCATAAATTATAGGGCAGAATTGTTTTATTTATATGTTTTATGCGTCGATACCTTATTCAACATTTTATGTTGAAGTTTTTATTTTATAATTTTGCTTTCAATCAAGTGGCGACTGAGAGTGCAAAGGGTTAATAATATGTATAGAAGCGGATAAATGATGATGCTAATTTATAAATTGAATGTTTATTTGGTTTTCCGATTAAAATCAGTAATAACGAAATATGAACGAAAGTTTCTTCTAATTACTTACTTCTTGAAAGTTAGCGCTATTCGCTTGATTATTGAAGGAATATGGAACAAGCGTATTAAATAAAACATAGATATTACGAGTAGATATTAATTTATTTAAATGTTTTTATTTCTTATACTTTTTTGTTTAATAATTTGTTGTCTAATAATTTGTACACTACTGTGTACATGTTAATTTGAAAATTTGTACACGCGTCTACGTCCTTTCGAAAGCGGAACGACGAAACGTTGGGGGTAGCTACAAAGTGCTCCGATTCGCTCCTTTCAGCGGCAAGGACCGTAAGAGACATCCTTTCATGTTGCATGAAAGAACGTCGAAATGTTTGTACACTGAACGTTACCCGCTCTATAGGCTGCTTAATCGTTTGCACAGATGGTATTTCAGGATAGCGCAACGTTCCCAAAATTCTCTGGCAAAAATCACATAAATTTAAGGAACATTATAATCAAACACGTTTTTCCTTTATCGTACATTATAGATTCCTAATAAACGAGAAAAATTATACAAATAAGAAAACATGCAAAATATATTCTATTTCACAAGATCCTTACGAAATAAAGTTTTAATACTGATTCACCACCCAAGAAAAACGAGTCAACTGTATTATTTTACAATGTTTTCTCGATTTTCTTAGTTTCATTTGTTAGAAAACATTTAAACTTCATGAAACTATCTAGGAATTTAAAAATAAAAACCATCTTGTTTCTTCTTTCTGTTTTCTTTGTTTTTGAAAGAAATGACCGAACAGATGTTGCATCTTCTATAATGTTATTGGGGAAGAAAGTAACGGCTTACGGATTGGTACAGCTAATATTAATATCTTCGAATGCAAGGGGCAGGGAAATTTACAAGTCGAGTTATGGTAGAGTGCGTCTCTTTCGAAAAGGAGCACAGCTGAGAACGCGGCTTTCAAAGAGAAGTTTTGCGGGCGTTTCGGTAAACAGCATGAATCCCCGGCTCGATCGATCGGGTGGAGGATTAACAGGCCTCGGCTCGAATTGTGAAGTCGTTACATCGTCACTGAGACGTATAAGTCGGCTTGCGAAAAGTCCTTTTTTTTCCCTCTCTTCATTGATCGTCGGAGCGAGTGATCGCTTCCTTTTGCATTAGGATCAGTGGCTTTCGCTGGCTTCCGAGTTTTGGATTCTAGCTTTCCTGCCCCCCGGGGATCCCGGTTCTGGTAAATTTTTACCGCGAACTTCCATTGAAATCTCTAGAAGATACGTTAAATTGTAATTTATATGTACTGCTGATTGGGTATAAATGTACTTATAGTTATATGTGTCTACTATATGGATCAAGTGAAAATATTTCAAATTGAATGGAGATTCGCCAATTTAATAACTAGCCTACTAAATGCATCAAGTGAAAATATTTCAAATTGAATATAGATTCAAAAATTTAATAGCTAATCAATTAAAGTCTACTAAATGTATTAAATAACAAGTTTAATAACAGTAATAGAAAAGAAAAGTTTAATAAAAGTTCAAGAATTAACCTTGGGTAGCAAAGAGTTAAAATAGGTCTTAGAACAACATTGAAAAAGGTCGGCAGATAGTATAGTTAAGGGAGTTTCTAGGTCATTCGAACCCAATGCTGTTTGTTTAAATAAAAAATATTTCGTCTTCGGTATATGAGAAATTTAATTGGAAAAATTGTAAATGAAAAGACGGAGCTTAATGAATGCCCAGTTTATTATTTATAAATTGTTAACGTTCGTGTACTCGTAACATATTCAAAACAATCGTGTTGCATTATTTTTTATTAAACATTACATTTCTCTATTTATTCTTCGAACGAAAGTTATAAGACCCCGTTTACATTACCGTCTCATTATTCTCCCCTCGCGCGTCTCAACTCTTTATTCAAACCTTTCTCGTTAGCGAACGCTAATACGGAACGCGATAATTTACATCGAATACCCGGCCGAATCGGGAAGCATCGAGATACGAAAACAATTTTCTTTCGTAAACTTCATCGTTACTTGGAAGAATCTTTATTAAGATTCGCGAATTAAATTCTACCGGCTCGAAGGAATATTATATTACTCGACACTGTGTAAGTTGAACTCCGTCAGATCAAATTCCCTATTTTACATTCAATAGAATCAATTACAAACATAATTCGAACCGATTTTAGAGCATTCATACTTATTAGAAAAATACGTTTAAGATGCATTAACAATCATTCCTTGCTTATTCACACATTAACCTACTGATCCTTTAAAATCCTCTGACAATAATACAAAAATGTTATATTGCGAATGTAACAAACAGAACTTATTATACATTCCACCTCAACACATTCGAAATGTAGGCACACCATTAATACTAAATAATCAATTTCTAGAATTTCAGAAAAATATCAGATAGTCAATAATAAACTTAAAAATGCGAATATAACAAATAAAACCTATTATAAAGTCGTACACCCCACTCCAATACATTTAAAACACCTTTTCATCTACTCGATTAACCGCCCAACACGTTTAACCCTTTGAACTCTGTATGCTCCAATATTGCACCAGTTATAATATTGAATATTTTAATGAATCAAAGAAACTACCCTAAAATTATTCGATTTTCCACACATCCAAATTTTGTACTAAGAAGGAAAATGAGAGATCGAAGGAATGTTATAGCGTTTTTCATTTTCACTAGAGATACTATAAAAATTAGTTGCAGTTGCTGATAGATTACAATACCATCTGGAGTGCTAAGGGTTAAAACGCATTAGACAAATAACTTTTAAGATTAATAGATCCTCGCGGTATCAAGGCAGTTAAACCGGAAAATACGGATGCAGCGAAAAAGTCGATCATCAGTTATCGCTGCCGATGAAAGGAAAGGGAGACCATCGTGCTCCTAATTGATGATAATTTCAGTAGTATTGAGTTTCCTTAGCCGATAATAATGAAAGCACGGGAGCTCGCATTTCGGGGCCGCTTACCATGACAACAGCAGTCAAATCAAACACGAAGCTATTAACTAGGTCAACATTTCGGGTTTGGAGGTACTTAGTCCCGGCTACTTGGTACCTTCGCCGGGCGAGAGCCGCTCGTTCGTCTCTGTATATGTATTTGCACGTACACGGGTGCCGCGGGTTCCACGGTGAACAAGAGCAAAGCAGCCGTGTCGGGCGGTCTTGAATAAATATCTAATGTGCAAGGGGTCCCGCCGCTACCCCCGCCAATATTGTTTTAGGCGCAGCCGCTGGCCCGTCCAAGATTTGTAACTCGAGAAACGAGCGCCACTCGCGCGTCCCGAGACTGAGAAGACACCAATAGGTGTCGGCGGCAGATCCAGCCGAGTACTTAAAAGTTCTCGAGATATCCTGTCCACGAATCCTATGCACAACGAACCGACGACCGTCGATGATCCGGGAACCAAGCAGCTGCCGCGCGGGGTGTCCCGTTTACTCCGAACGCACGAATAGATCTTCACTTTCGTTATTACGAAACAATACGGAAATGCGAAGATACTAGAACAACCCCTTCCGTCGAAATGGAGGGTCGCAGTTCTCTTATTTTCGAATTATTTATGTCTTTACACGTACGCCGGCTAAATTTCAGCTACTAGAAACGCGAGCGTTGGAGATTATACTGATACATTTTGAAACATTAATCAAACCGAAATTCGTAACTTACGAAAAAGAATAAGGAATTCAGTTTTGTAGTTTCACTTTGGATTTGTGTTATACATATCTAAAATGTTACATTAACACGTTGAATGCCGCACGATTTCATAGTGCGAAATATAGAAAATGGAGGAAGTATAATATTAAATCATCTGATTGAATTGCATTGTTATTACTGCACGTTCATCTGGCTGAATGTCACCGCATTAGGTAGCATTATTTATAATATAGAAATCTTTTCAACTAATCATAGTATAACTGAGTGAACTACAGTAATTCGATTTGGGTGGGGGTCACCGGTGACCCCCATGGCATTCAACGTGTTAATGTAGGACTAGCAATTAAACGATAGACTAAAAATCCCGCATTATCGCGGGGCCGGCGCGCAATATGTTAACTACTTCGGTACTATCGTGCACGACTGCAGTCGACTATAGACCGCCGTACCGAAATGGTTAGCAATGTTGCCATTCAATGACGAGTGAGACTCATGACGAAGATTTCTACATTGATCTGATAAAAATCAATGCTG